AAAGAGAAAAGAGGAAGGGGGGGGGGGGGGGGGGGGGGGAAATCAGCAGACACATGGAGGTGCAGGAGACCAGAAGGGATCAGAGAGGACACAGGGATGCATTCTGTTGCCGCACAGTTATTTTGAATGAATAGCTGCGATTAGCGGCTTTCTTCTACCCATTGAGTATATAGCACAATTCCCTTATTAGGACAGCTACTTTAATTAACATTAGAGATGCATATACATTGTAAATGTTTGTAAAGCAGTTTGGGGGGTTTTGGTAACAGTTTCCATGCTACAATTCATGTCCAATATTTATGAACAATAAATGTTATGTTTATATCTTGTGGCAATATTCTTTTTGGGTGTTTTTGGCATAGTCTGTTCTCCTTGACAAGTTCAACATTGATTTAGCACCTCTGTTTTCTTCATTGTATGCACAAGAGCAAGCCTGACTGATTTATATTGAGGAGCACGTTGCAAGGAGGGTAGGCCAGAGTTTAGACCTTCCATCGTTAGGCCTTAAAGTGGACCTTTACACTCAAAAATCGAATTCTACCTATGCATCCCTCTATGTATGATGATTAATAATAACATACACGTCAGGTGTAAAATGCTGTGATTTTGAAATACTTACACTTGCAGAGCATTCACTTTCTGCTTTGAAAGTGCAAATTACTTTATTTTGCCAACGCAATGCACACTGGGATGTCCTTGTCATCATCAGAGCATTGCTGGGAAATCTGATATGTAGTTTCAGGAGAAAGGCATTTTCCTCCCCTGAGATAATGTGCATGGTCACATGTCTAGTCACATGTGCCAGATATCAAGGAAGTAATAGGAGAGCTAGTGGCCCCGAAAGCGCTAGTTTTGGGGACGTGACGTTTCAATAAACCAACTCTTTGGGCTGCAATACTGGTGGTGTGTTGGTGACATTTATTCATCTTTATACTGTGTGGCGGCGCCATCCGCAGGTCACTACAAGCACCCCCTCATTCAACTTTGGGTTTTTCCAATAAGGAGTGCGACAAGGTATCTTTTTGTTTGGCCACATGTTTAGTCACATGTGCCAGAAATCAAGGAAGTAATAGGAGAGCTAGTAATCTACCCTTAGTAAACATGGCCACTGTTAGAAGAGTGGGGAAGAAAATAGAAATAAGGTATGCAAAGAATACAAAGCCTGCAATTATCTAGAAGTATGTGTTTGTCGATTGTCATTACTAAACATTTCTAAAGGTGTGTTTGTTGTTATTTTAAAGATATGGGTAAAGGTTTGCTTTAAGCTGCTCTGGACGATAAATAAAAGTATGTGAAGCCACTTCTAGATGCTTTCATTTGGACCGCTGTCAGGTTGCATATTTCAGCTTTACCTCTGGTAGATTCAGGTACATTGTTCTGCCTTGAGTAGATCGTTGGTTAATTGTACTTGTTCTTTTGAATTGCGCTTTACTTGATGTTGACCCTGGTTCAACTCACTAGACTGAGATTGTCCAGAGACCTGTACAGAACTCTCCAGAGAAACTCTGTGTCCTGCAGTTTTTGATACACTGTTTGGTTAAAGACTTCTGTTAGGAATCCTTAAATGTTGATATTTTATCCCTAGCTGACCTGCTAAACTCAAGCCTACAAGCCCAGTGTTTCCTGTGAAAAAAAAGCAGAACGTTTGCCAGTAAATGAAGAAACTTTCCACAAGGGTTAGCCCCTAAAGACGTGCAAATTTACACTAATACAACAAAAAGATTTTGTGTGTTTTTTGTCTGGGAAGTTAAATCATTTAGTCTGCAGTTGCAATACTGACCTGAGCTGGCTGAGATGTATAATGTATGGGTGTGCGAGTTTGCTGTTAAACTGGATCTTGTAGATGCTTTCACTTCTATCTCTTGAAGATGCAATGCTTAACAGAAAAGCATATGTTGCTCTTTTAAATGAAAATATGTTTTGTCACCTTTCATTATAGATCAGATATTCCCCTCTGAACTACATACCAGAGAATATCACAGACACAATAAAAGGATGTAACACTCAGTTGACAAAGTCTTAAAACCTGACCTATACAATCTGTCTGCACAGAAAGCTTTATGTGAACAGAGTGTATGGGTTGGGTAGACATCAAGTATTGAGCAATCAAGATCAATCTGTGACATACGCCCCCGGCCCGAACCCGCTGTACGTCAATCACATGTGACTCTCAAAAAAAATGTGCCATCCCCATTTACTTGATGACTCTTTACCAGTATGATATCTTATCAGTGTTTTATATCTATCATATAGGACACACAATACACCCCAGTAAAAATAGGATTTTCTTTTCTGTTTTTATTGACAACCTTTTACAACAAGTAGTTGGCAGTACAAAAAAAGTAAAATTAAAACAAGTCATATGAAAGAATATGGGATGACAATATTAGATTTTTAATGAAGTGCCATTCTATGATGAAGTTACAGAAAAGTACAGTGTGACAAAATGTGAAATATAGCAACTTATGGGGATCTACATTGCCCAAAAAAGGCTGAAATGTAACTTGCCTTTCTATCACAATATATGCTTAATGTTTCTAGTATTGAAGACCTTAAAGTGCACCTATCCTGTCAAAAAACAAAAAAGATTCTTACCATCCAAAAAAAAGTAAAAAAAAAAAAAGTTATTGCACTAAAGCAATGATAAGAACTTACAGCCGCCATGTCCATACAGTGACCAGCTCCTGGGTGCTACCTTACTGACTTCTGTGCATCACTAGCGAGTATGCTATGCTTATTTTGGGGAAAAGCAGTTTACTATCTACAGGCCTGCATCCCAAATGTTGTGATTGGATCTATGAGAAATAAAACGTAATATTTTTATTTCATGTCTTATATGCTTATCGTACTGGAAAAATTAATTTAACACAATTGAAACAGTGATAATCACTTACTGATCTTTTGTCTCAAGCAACCCCCAAATCCAACAGTAACCCTAGACCTTGGGGAAAATGTATGTTATCATGACGATAGTATTCTAATTTCATGGTAATACTAGCGGCCAAAATGCTTGTAAAAATATCCGTCAATAACAATGCATTTCTTTACCATTTCCAGAAAGAGTACACTAAAATCACAACTGTAGGGATGTAGCGGATAAATAAACTAACGTAATTCTTAATCTGATTGCTGTCTTTTTGAGTGGAGCTGTTTAGACTCATAGTGCAGGAGGTAAAATCTAATTATAGACTAAGAATTGCAAACATTGAAATCACTTTTTGTATGGCAAGACTGTTGATATTTTAATGTGTCATGATGCAAGCCACGTGATTGCCATTAGCCCTAATCGAGCACAGGATTCACAGTCCACAAAGAAAATATCCCGTCTGAGTTTTTTTTTTTTTTATTGCAATTTTCTGTTATTTTTTGTGCAATTATTTTTAATTCCAATTTTTCCAAAAACTTGCTGGTTGTTGCACTATAACATTTAAGTTACCACTGAAATTTTAAATATTTTACTGCTTGGCACCCATCGTTTGCCTGCAAAAGTGGATACCTTTTTTATGTTATTTGGTTCTAACAATCATTTGTAGAAGAACGTGTTGGGAGAATGACAGACAGGTAAAAAAAGTTAAGAACACAATTGACATTTTTTTTCCATTTTTATGCAGATGATGCAGAATATAATGTATGTCATGTATTTGTATCTGTAAAAAATATATATTTACATATTCATCTAAATACTGTACAGGTAAAATTTTTGGTTATAGCAAAATAAAAGGGAGGATTTATAAAGAGGGAAATGAAAACATCTGTGTTACCGTCAGCCACCAATCAGATCCCGGGTGCCGTTTTCCAGAAGAGAATAGAGAATAAAAACAACTGATTGGTTGTTCTGGGAAACACAGCAGTTTTCCCTTCCTCCATTTTACCTTTATAAACCAACCCACAGTTCCCTGATTATGCACTTGTGTGACAGATATCACAGAATGGAAGTGAGGAGACAGATACAGTACATTTACAGTACATTGTGAAGAGTCCATAGTAAAATGAATCCTCAAACAAGGCATAACATAGTCCTTGGAGAGTAAAAATGGCTCCCTTTTGTTTTGGGTAGCCCCACTTATTTGATTGCAGTGTTTTGTATGTTCTCTTTGCGATTGTCAGTAAATGAACATAATACAAAGTATAAGTAACTTTCTATAGCGTTCTAGTTTTGTTCTACATCAGTTCATTGGAGGTTGTGTCCTGTGTCGAAAAACAACAAATCAAAGTGATAATACAAACTTTTTTGCAGTACATAGTACTTTAAAATATTCTACACTATAGTCCACATATGTGACTTATATAGATGTGTTGTTCCTGTTTATGTTTCCTATAGGCCCAGTTCACACCTGGGCGTTTTGTAGCGCGTTCCTACGCTCTGCAAAACGCTCAAACACCGAAATCCCATTATTTCCTATGGGTATGGTTCAGAGTGATCTTGATTTAGAATAAGGTAATGTAAACTCAAAGGAAATTGAGATTTCTTGGCAGCTTTTGGTATTCTAAGATAGTTTTGTTAAGACTTATGAACACAGAGGTCAAGGGAAGGGCTGTTTTGTTGAAAGATGTCAAAAGACCTGGTAAAGTAGACATTCAACATCTTACAGTACTGAGGGACAGTTTCCGTCTACGTATGTCATGCGATTCTCTGGTACATCCTGAACCAAAAACTGGTGAATACGAGTGCTTCCAAAGTAGGAAAGTCTTTTTGATTTTTATGTTCATCAGTCCAGACTTTAGTGAAACGTGTTGGGATTGGGTCTGATCATCATAACGACTTTCTTCAGTGAGTAGGATCCGCCTCGGAACTCAGCCCAGTAAACGCCGTCTTGGTAGCGGCTGCGGTAGTGCCCTCCTCTGTACCAAACGCCGTTGAGGTTGGAGTGAGCACAAGCGTTGTACCACCATCCTCCTTTCTGGTAGTGGGCGCAATTGCCTAGAATAAGACACAAATTGTTTGCAAGTGATCAAATTTAAACCCCCCTCCAAACTTGTGGGCCATCATTTTGCGGCTTACATTTAGAGTTGCCAGGTTAGCATGTCTTTTAGTCAAATATCATTTAATAACTGGACTTCTGGAAATAAGTATACATTTATTTGGGATTCCTAAAATATTACTGCTACTGGGTTATATAAAGTAGTTTTTTTTTATATTCAGTTTATTTGCTAATTTGCCCTTGTGAGTTTTTTTTCGTTCTGTAATTTTTCTTTTTGTAAATTAGTTTATTGAAAAAAAATGTGCACTATTCCACTGTTAAGTGTTTACTTTTTTCATCACTTAACTGCTGGAAAAAGACTAATATGGGAAAGGGTTAGGACTTCTGTGAGACTTTATTGCTGTCTCTGCCCCGATGGAGAGGTTTTCCCTTCATGTTGTAGTGAACACACAAGTGTTGGAAATCTCACCCAATGGACACACACAATAGTAAAACCAGACATAGACCTCATAAAAGTGACAATGCTCTTTTGTCCCGTTGGTAGGCAGGAAGGAAGCAGGTAAGGGACAAAGTTATTTTGTTTAACTACTATGGAAAAAATTGAGGTTACTGACTAAGCTACGCTTTCTTGCATCTAATTACTACAAAAATGATGGCAAGTAATCAATTTTGTAGTCAGGCTTTTTAATTCAACATCACCTAATGAGATGTGTATACCTACAACTTTAGCAAGATTTTTGTTTCAGCTAGTGGTTTTATATTTGAAATCAATTATTTTAACAGCTTCTAATTATATGAATTACCATCATAGTATGAATATAAGCAGCATATTATAGAATAGTTACCTGTGTATACATCATGATCCCTATCGAGGGTGGTGAACTGCTTGCCGTTATGCCAGGTGAACGAGTCCCCGGCATTGCCGTTATAACGGCCAAGTTTCAATTTGTAATGTTCACTTTCAGGTTCTAGGCGGAAACTTGCATATTCAGCAAACACTTTGCGTCCCTGCCAATCTTCCATGGTAACTAATAATTTGTAGTTGTCTTGATTAGTTAGCCAGTAGATGTTTTCCAGCCCGAGCCAATACTCTCCGTCAATGTTACCGAATCCTTGCTGTTTAAAAATAAATAAATAAAGAGGATAAATGTCTAAGTCTGCTTTTTAGTACTTTATCAATGTTAAATAAACTTTATTCATGTTTTAATTATTTTTGCCTTTATTCTTTGCTACTATTTTTTCAATCTGTTGCATTTTCAATTTTATAAGCAAGTCACATTGTTTTAGGCTTTAATTTTGAAAAAAAATGTTGCCATTAATAAGAGACTACTTTTTCTTCTGAAGTACTGTGCAGTATCATTTGGTCAATTGACTATCACTGACCAAAATTCTTTTTACCCTTTTCTTGTTTTGCCCCAATTTCACTCACTTTGTACGTTTCCCAGTTCCGGAAGAAGTTGACCGATCCATCAGTTCTTCTCTGGATGACAATCCAGCCACCAGGATCGTGTCGTTGATCACACCACACCTGCATCAGTCTATTGTTGTTCTCTGGCTTCACCAGGTATATGCCGCTTGTGTCATGTCCGTCGTCCATTGCCTGTAGGCAGTCTTTCCATGGACCTGTCACAAAGACGAGATTACTTCAGTTCCCATCTTGCAGTAATTTTGTTGCATATTTTCTCTAACAACATATTTAAAGGCATAGTGCACATTTTGCAGAAACATATGTGCACTCAGTAATAAAAAATGAACTATGCATTTATTATTTTTTGCATTGGAGCCTAGAAGTGGGTTGGTTAATGTTTCCTGCCATTCAACCCAGAAGATGGGCGACATCTAGTGGTGGAGGAGAACTACTGTGAGAGTCTGCTCTCAATTAAAGTTTTTTTTTTTTTTTTTTTTACAGATGCATGTAGCATTTTCAAAAGTCAGACAGTTGACAGGGCAGCAAGTGTCAGACCTCAGGAGGAGCTCTCAACACCAACATTGTTTTCAGACAATAGCCTCAATTCACAAACCGAACTTGCCTGAATAAGGATTGTTCGATAATAAATCAGTAGAATGATGTCAGAATTATAATGTTTACATACATTGTTATCATAGATATAAATTGTGATAGAAATAGTGACAGTTATTTTCAACTACCAATTAAATTTGAAAATGATGGTCTTGTGGTCGAAAATAAAGAGTCTTATTCTTGTTTTAAAGATTCATGAAATGAGCTTCATGTCAGTAAAGGTAACTAAGGGATAGATATTGATCTTTCATAAATGTATACTTTTTTAAATAATGTAAGCATAAGTTTCTTCTTGCATAAGTTGACTGATTTCTCTTTAACATTTATGTATAAGCTAATCCTGCCTCACGTACAATATTTATCTAGTAAATTTGACTGGAAAAACTCTTTAAAGTAAGATCACAGTGCGATTCATGTTAAAATGCGGAATGAGACTTGTCAGGTCTGGCAGGGCAGCCTTGTGGAAATACAGACAGTGTGCCAGGAGGAACGAGACAGAATCAACGAAGGTGCAGATACTTCTAACCACAAATAATGTACTTTCCAAAGAGCGGGGAAAATTGATGTAGTCATGAGAGGGATTTACTACAGTCCGGACCCTCCGGAGAGATGCAAGGACAGATATGGACTTGGTAATCGATAACAAATGTTTCCTATTCATGTGGAAGCTGTGCAGATTTAATCAGATGCATGTAGTGGAAGTATAAAAGCTATTTTATTATTTATAATTGGCACCCACATGGTTTACTGAAAGAGGTTATGTTTAAAGTTACACTCCAGGCAAACGGCTAAATGCCTGCCAGAGAGCAGAGCTGACCTCTGTGTCTGGCAAGTGGTGACCTCACTTTTTTCCATTGGAGTTAAGCTATATAGCTTGGTCACTGACCCTTCAGTAGTGTTTTGATTGAAGAGTCGAAGAACATGATCACGCCAATAAGTTCTTTAAAGCCCAAATCCAGCCAAAGCTTTTTAGTTTTTGATAGTGGTGAAGGGTTAGAACCTCTGCTTTCTGTACCTCATGTTGCAGACATTTCCTCTTGTTTACTGCAATGTCTGACAATAATTAACAAGGAAGTGAAGGGTACTGGGTTGCACTAAAAGCAAAAAGGCAAAAATATTATATTTGGTGAATTAAACATCTCTTCTCAATGCTCTTAATGTAAAACAGACCAGGGTTGTGCTTCAGGACATACAGTAGTAAATGTTTGGAAGATGTAGCAAGAAGTAGAAGCTTCATTGCTCTCTAAACCAGGACAAGTTTCCTAAGTAACAAAATTGTTTTTGGAATCTTGCTGTGTTGTAACCTTCTGGACTACTTCCAGGTATTGAAAGGGAGCACTGTAGCTGCCAAATTAACGATCCTATTAGGTTGTCAGGGCAAAGAATTCTTTCAAGTTTAACCTTCTATCTGAAGTCCTTTAGGCAATATCCCCCAATGCTTAATTGAAGGTGAACTGGAAATATTTGTTCCATATGATCCGCATAGTTCTACACCCAAACTAAATGAATGTGTATAAGTAAAACCACATTACTAAGCCCTTCACAAAATGTTAATGTCAACATTTAGAATACGTTATTATGTTTGTTCTATAAAATCTTTGTCCTAAACAAACAGATTTAATTACAAACCACAAAACTTGATGGCAGGATGGGCAGACCCAGAATGCTAAAGCTTGCTGCTTTTAGTGATTAATTACCCCCTTTTTGATGCAAAAAAATTGTGTATAGTGGTTTCCATTACTCTTTGTGTATAATTGCTTCTATACTGCACCTGCACTCTGATGGTTTTCATGAACCATCGCAATGACCTATTTGGATAATTTTTGGGTAGCTTTACCTTCTTGAGGAACTCCTTGACATACTGAATGGAATATGGCTCCTTCCAATCTTGTAACCTGGGCTCTGTCTGTGGATCCCCTAATTCGATCCCCATGTTCTCCCCTCCTATATCTGGTTTCATTAATCACTGAAGGTCTTCTTCCATCAGGGATTGTGGGTGCATTGAGTGAAGTGCATTGTATGCCTCTTTTCATGAAGAATGGTACTCTCCCCCCCCCCCCCCCCCCTCTAAATATATTTTTGTCCCCCCCAATTCTTT